GGAAAAATATTGAATGAAACAGAGTAGCAGGACCTTTAGCCACATCAGCTGTTGGCCTGTCGTCAAGTTCTCCAGCTGGGAGATCATTACAATGATGATGATGGTGATGATCCAAATGCATCAAACGAAAATAAGAATCAGAATCAACGTTACTATTTAAACGGCGAATGTTTCTTAGTGAACTGCTCGCGTGAAAATGAGATGAGTGTGCATTGGCGTCTTTTTTTCGAGGGTCTTTTCATTTTTTGTTGGATCGAAAAAATAGTGATAGTCCGTAGCGGGTACCGGAAGCAAAAATCATTGTTCTAAGATGTATAATCTGAACAGTTTTCCGAATAGTTTTTTTCTCTGTACCGCACCCATATCACTCAGTGGGTAAAATTAACCATAATGAAAATCTAACAGAACCGAACTGGTTCCCCTTGCTTTATGAATAAACAGGTTCATTACAAAAATGTCTCAAGTGACATTTTTGAACGGCTTATTTGTTTTAGGCGTTTTGTTCATGAGATCATTTGAAAAGTTTCACTGTTTCATTCTTTCTATTTCGGTTTTATGAACACTCATCTACTGTTTCAGATTTTTATGGATTTGTCAGTTCCGCCACCTGAACCATACAAAGCAGCGACGACAATTATTCGAGGGCAGGCAATTCTGCCGATACTACCGAAAGGTGCTCGAAGACTGACAAGCCACATTTGGAATTCCGCACCGCTCCGCATGCAAGCTCATCCGCTACCGGAATTCCGATTTCACTCTCCCGGTGTTGTGGTGCGAGAACAACCTGTATCGATACCGGGCGAGCTAAACGGTCCATCTGCTGTGCGAATCAAACCCACTGCAGCTGTTCTCCCAACAGCCACTTCTTCTAAATCATCTCCTGCTACTAGTGTGTGCAATTTGCCCATTCACTCAGGAAAACCACCCGGTACAGTGAACGTGGGCACACAAACGGATGATGTGGGGATTGATATGGACCTATTGCTTCACATTGAAGACATGCTGCGGACACAAAGAAGTCTCACCCTGCCAAAGATTTTCAATCGATCCAAATCTAATCCAACAGGTATTGGTGTTTCCACTTCCACCGACAGCGCTTCGTCTACTCACGTGGATGGGGATTCCCAGGCAAAGTCGAACGCACAATTACAGGAACAAATTAAAGAACTGAAAGAGGCACTTGGTGTTCAGAGTAAGGTATGTTATGGTTGCATCTTTCCGACAACTAACGATCAATTTAATTGGGGCGAGATAAGAATACTTTGAGACCGTGTGATGAGTCAATATCTTATAAGTGAAGTACTTCAGTCTTCTACATTTAATCTCCATCAGAATTTGCAATACAACAATCTCTTGTCACTGGTGTTCTTTGGACCCTGTGGTCCGCGGTTCGAGCCCCGCCAACCAACTTTAGTGGTTGGCAGCTTGGCTGTCGTCCGGTTCTATGCGACGCCTGACCTAGTGCGACCTTGATTTGAGATTAGCCATTCCAATTCCCGGGGCTTGGGTTGTCGGTTGGCATATCTGAACAGCAGGTCTTCGTGACTTTGGGGTCCGCTTCGACTGTTGTTCAGCATACACTTGTGTGTAATAAAAAAGATACCTGTTCGTATCGTGCATCTCATTGGTGTATACTTGTATGTGGATTGCTCTTCGATTTGAGGTGTGCCATTTTGATATGGCCTGATCATCCTTCATATTTCCTCATCGCGTTCATTGCCCATTTCAGCCTTACGCTCAAGAAGCACTAGATCCGAGTAGTACATACATATCCATCGTCCTGTTCGGTCTCTAATCTCCAGGCTCATGGCATGGAAGGTGTGTGTGTTATCTCTGTGTAAACCGACTCATTCCAGGGCTGTCTGGAATTTCTAATTCATGTTTGTCAAGATATCGTTTTCAATGACGGTTAGTCAGCAGTTACTTGGGTCAGATAGCAACGAAAAGATCCATAACGGTTCAATATCTGTTAATTTCATTCAGTTTCGGTTTTTTTTTTTCAACCATTAAACATGCACTTTCGTGTGCCGGTTTTGGTTTCTGTCTTTTGGCCGCCCATTCGGATAAAAAAGCAGAATGAAGATTGGAATGTCGAGAGCAGAGTCAAAAGGAAGATAGAGAATTCATGTAGATTGCGGTTGCAAGAATATTGAGTAGATGCACGAGCTTCACTGTTTGCGACACTCAACCGTATCACTCAGTATCTCTGACCATTGATTACGCTGATCCCGAGGTCCTCATCCAGGGAGTCTGACGCGACCTTTGTGACCCAGTGTGCAGGTTAGGGTTTTCATACCCTCATGCCAGGTCTTAGTTTGACTGCCCTTAACCTTTTTCCATCCACTGTCTGTCTCAGCAAACATCGCTCGCCGTGACAACCTATTTGGGGTCATGCGCAGCACATGTCCCAACCAGTGTAATCTATGGAGGTCGACCACTTGCTCCAGTGGACGACCGCGATTACCTAAAACTCTACGCTGAAGCTCAACTTCACCCAGAAGCCTTCCATCAAACTCGGACTTCCATGCAGGTTCGGACAAACTTCTCAATCTGGCCATTCAAATCACATTTACTCATGAGTACATTATTTGTGCCTTTAATGCACCCAGATCACCGGCTCCTTTTTTATTTGGAGTTAGACTCGGAAATCGTGTTTCTACACTTCGCTCAACCACTAAACTCAGGTCTGATTCATTCTCTCGATTCAGATACGAACTTGTTTGGAAAATGAAAATGCCTCACTAGCGCTTTGCAGACTGAGCAAGAGATGTGTAACCCTATTGTGCTATTGGACATTCGCGTGTTTCTAACTTGTTCGAATCACTGCGATGTGAAAAAAGGGTGACCATTGTCCTCCTGTGAGTGGTTTTGTGCATGGTAATATCTTTTCTGGAGCGTAGGGGGTGATAGCCAGTTACCAAAATCCGGGGACAAAACGCACTCTTTCTTCATATTACACTCAACATTTTTTTGTTAAACCGGACAAAGCATCCAGTTCTGGCGTTTTGTGCAGTGCATGTCTTAAAAATTCGGTTTGATTGCACGATCCTACTGTTGTTTTCTTTATCTCTCATTCTTTTTTTTAGGTCAACGCTGATCTCAAACGTCTGCTTGTCTCCGCCCTGGCTGGGAATTCCAATCTGGCTGATCAGCTGATCGGACTGACGTCGGACAATGTCAACCTTTCCGGTCAGAGTCGATCGTTAGAAGCCCAGCAAGCGGCCCTGGCGGAGGCTGCGGACACGGCAGGCATTGCAGCCGATGTGTGGCGTGCAAAATGTCTTGCTGGACGTGTGGTGGCTACCGAAGCCGCCCGACGAGTAGCCTTGGCCGAGCGGAAGGCCCAACTGGCTCGTCATGCATTGGCTCACTTACTCGGGGAGAGAGCGCGTCTTCGATTGGAACTGGGGCAGACTTGTGCCGGCCTGATGGCCGCTACCACATCCGGCAGTCGTCGGAGATCAGACGATGTGGGCACTACTCCACCACTTGTCCAGGACACACTAGGATTAGCCGCGTTGTGTACTAATCTGGTGGGTCAGAATATCTGCGAAGTAGGTGACCGAGCGCCAATCCTGTGTCAGTCAGACAGTCCGGGAGAAAATTTGGCGCTTCGCGTAAGTGTGTGTGTATGTGTGCTGGTAAATGTCGGTTCTAGTTTACACCAGCCTCCGTGCTCAAATACTGTCGTCCCTCATGCAGTCCCTAGTCCATCACCGAACTGTTCATCGTTACTATCACCATTGCCGTCTGCAGGAACCCTCGTCTGAGGTTACGACTTTCAGTCACCCCTTATGTTTACCCGTCCTAATAGCTCATGAACGCCGAACCATCCTTACGAATTAATCTATGGCACCTGCCTCATCTTTGGCGTCAGTTCATCCTTTTAACCCCAGAACCCCCTGGCTGTCAAACATAACGGGAATCTTCAAATTGTTGTTTGGCAGATTTGAAGTTTGTATGTCGATTGTGAAAAGTTCAGTAGCCTCGGTCGGATTCGAACCCACGCCTTGTACGCGCACGCTCTACCAGCTGAGCTACGAGGCCACACCGATAACACTGATCTTTTCCCATTCGAATTTACGGTAATCGCACATCTCCGAGTGGAATGAAGTGTTTATTCCGGTGCTCGTTCGGTATGCAGTTTCTTTAATGAAATGATATTCATATTCACATAAGTTAACGAAATGGGTCGATTGCTGGGAGCTAAAAACAACTCTTCCCATAGGCTCTACCTACCAGCTGGCTATTGACTTTATGAGGTACATAAAGCACTTACCTTACTCGACGCAAGGCTAGTACAACTTTAAATAGCTGCCACGTTTTCAGTCCACTAACCGAATTGACGAATATAGGGAATCAAATGTAATTCCGTTACATTTGGTCATTTTATCCCCCTAAGGTGTTTTTACTCATCCTAATAATACGCTGGGTGCCTAGCATTTCTATTAATTTTCAGTTAGCTGTGACGAATTCATGTAAGAAAGTATAATCGGCTTCAAGGACATCTTATTTGCGGGGTTTTAAAGCCTTTCGAAATTGATACATACACTGTTTTTTTTTACTTCAATCGACTTTTTTTAAAGAATATATCTGGACAGTCATTGCAGAAGCCAATGCACCCTATTGATCATTAGAGTTGTTGTCATCTATCTGGAAGGGGTTCAGTACTTTCATTTTAGCCGTTGAATTAAGATGCCGATCTGGAGCACCCAATCAACTGGAGCCAAACTCACACTTTGGTAGGACCTTTGATTCACCAGGTCCGTATTCACCCAAGTGTGTGTGTACCTCTTCTGTCAGGTGTTTTCCGAATCAAGGCTACTCTTCGATGCAAGCAGCATCATGGAGTCAGTGATTGGGACGGTAAAGGGTATTTCATAGAATTAGCACACATTTGGGCTGTTAGGCTGCCGTATTTCTTTGAACATCCACGTTTTTCCGTTCTCATCGTTTACCCAATTCTCACCTATAAGTCTTGGAAGCTTGCACGTGCTTGTGTAGCTACACTCGGGTACACTGCGTAATAGGTCGACCAAATCAGGTTGAAAGTAACCAAAGCCTAAAAATATCAGTTAGGAGGTGTGATATGGGCGGAAGAGATTTGCTGTGATCCAACGGTTGAGAAGTAAATTTTTCCAAATAACAAATATGCATGGATCCTTGGGTAACATCCTCATCTATCGAATGGCGAATCAATTTCTAGTGAGCCCAAGAACCACCATGCATTCGTACGTTGCTGCCTTGTAGTTCGCACTTAATTGTGCAAATGCTTGCTAAAAATATAACCGGGTGACCTTAGGAATGTTTCTCGCGTACCAAACTCCTGTGGCACTTCACAGCCATGTTGTCCACACACACACACACACACACACACACACATGCGCCTTGCTATTCATGCTACGGCGCGCTAAGCATGAGCGGTCACGATTGGAGATATTCATGAAGTGAGCTCATTGTCCTCAAACAATCGATCACGGTAGCATATGGTAAAAGAGAAGTACCTACTCACACGGATCAACTTATCAGGAGGTCCCTGGGTGTGAGCTACCACGTGTACTTGAGTATCTGCCAGAGCATAATGCTGATCAGTAACCACCAAATACAGCCAGCTTATTTGGGTCACTCCTTTCGCATACTTCTGATCGAGTTAGGATCTGTGACGAGATGAGCCACTATTCCGAAACCACTAGCAGTGAGCACCATTTCGCCATTCTCATTCAGTTTCGTCATAGACAAAATATTGATATTGATAGACAATTGAGAGAGACGGACAGGGAGGCTATTTGATTTGTTGTATAGGCAAAACACATTTGCTAGGTCGGTAGATATGGTTGCTCTCCTGTGTCTGTGTGTTTCGCACATTCAGAGTATAAAGTGCTGTTGCCATAGTGGCGGTCGACTATCAGGAGCTGTTGACTGGTGGTTTTCATCGCATCTCCTAATTGAACAGTTGCTTCACCAATGATTGAAGCCCGTCAGCGGAGGTGACCGTACACATATAAAAGGTTTGAGCAGCATACGCTTCGGGGTTTAT